CTGCACGTGGGTGAGGGAGGGGGAAGCTTGCCTGTCTCTGAAGGGGTAACTTTCTCTCTCCAAGAGAACCGGCGTGGACGTGGCTGGGTTTCACTCCTGCAAACTCCTACTGTCCTTGGCCACTTTAAAGTGTCCACAAACAGATTCCAGCTCTTCCGCCTAGGAAACTAGATTTGTAGCCAAGCTGTGGCCCCAGGTAGGAAGGCGACCCCCCGTCTTCTCCTCTACCCCCCCTCTCCCCTCCTCCTGGACCCCGCACCCACCTGCTTCTCCGCAGTTTCCCTTATGGACGGGGAGGACGAGCGGCTGGTAGCCAGAGCTGGATTGGTGGTTCCGGGCGCGCAGCTGGCAAAGGCTGCTGTAGGTGCGTCCATCGCTGCCGCAGACGCCCAGCGGCCCCTCGACGCACGAACAGGTGCCCGGTTCGCGGCTGCCCGGCCGCCGGTGGCAGAAGAAGCCCCGGGCGCAAAGGCCATCTGGAGCGCACGGCTGACCCTCGCCCGGCGCGCAGTCCCAGCAGCAGCCGCAGCGGTCCAGCTGGAGCTCGCCCCCGACGGCCAGGCAGGCTTGCTGGGAGCGCGGCGGGCAGCGCATCCGATGGCATTCCGCTGGGCAGGGCGGCAACGGGCTGGAAGGAGCGGCCAGCAAAGCCGGCAGGAGGAGGAGGAGGAGGAGGAGGAGGAAGAGCGGCGAGCGGGCCATGGCGTTGCAACCGGACTAGGGAGCTGCGCCCACGGCCAGCGGGCTTTATGCGGGGAAGGCAGAGGGGTCGGGGCCAAGGGGGCGGAGGCCCGTGGATGGCCGATGCCACCCACCCCGCCAGCCCCGCCAGTAGCCTGTAGTCAGGGCAGAGGATCCTGGATCAGAACCTTAGAATAGGATAGGATAGAATAGAATAGAATAAAGAATGAAATAATATAATATAATATTGGAATGAAGAACAATAGAATAGAATAAAGAATGAAAGAGTAGAATAGAATAGGAATAGGAATAGAACAGGAATAGAATAGAATATTGGAATGAAGAACAGAACAGAATAGAATAGAATAAAGAATGAAAGAATAGAATAGAATATTGGAATGAAGAATTAGAATAGAAAAGAAATAGAGTAGAGTAGAGTAGAATAGAATAGAATAGAATAGAATAGAATAGAATAGAATAGAATAGAATAGAATAGAATAGAATAGAACCTGGAAGGGACCTTGGAGGTCTTCTAGTCCAGCCCCCTTGCTCAAGCAGGAAAACAAGAAAAGTGGGGGGGGGGGTAAGGAAGGGAAAAAGATGTAAAACAAAATCTTATTTTTAAAGATAGTCTTCTCTTGACATTTTAAAAAAATCACAGTTCTTATGTGGGGTCTCATTTCCACCCCCACCCCCATTTAAGAGAAAATGGCAATGTTAAATTTTATACCTTGAAATTCTTGGTGTTTTTTAATCAAAGGGACAAGGGGTTTCATCCACAGTGTTTCAGCGCATAGGTCAAAAAATTATCGAGATAAACAAGTATTTACTACCCACTTTAGCCACCCATTTGGGACACATCTTGGGGTGGCAGGCATCATCAATAATAATAATAATAATAATAATAATAATAATAATAATAATAATAATAATAATAATAAAAACTATACAGTAATTCAGTACATTTACAATATAGTACTTTGGTGCTATGGTTAAGGCATCAGGCTAGGAGCTGGGAGACTGGGAGTTCTAGTCCTACCTGAGATAGAAAGCTCACCTAGTCCTACCTGAGATAGAAAGCTCACCTTTGGCCCCTTGGTCTCCCTCAGCCCTAGGAAACAGCAGGGGCTTGGCTAGCCAGTCACCAGGACTCAATCCTGATCTGAAGGAACACCCCACTCCAAAACAACGACTCAGCTCAACGAGCAAAATTCTCCTTACTCAAAAGACCAAGCACAGAGGAGCACTGGTGAACGTCAGGATGGAATCAGGGCTGTGGCATTAGACCAGGACTTTAGCATAGAATAGCTAGGATAACAGAGTTGGAAGGGACCTTGGAGGTCTTCTAGTCCAACCCCCTGCCTAGGCAGGAAACCCTACACCACTTCAGGCAAATGGTTATCCAACATCTTTTCAAAAACTTCCAGTGTTGGAGCATTCACAATTTTTGGAGGCCAGTTGTTCCACTGATTAATTGTTCTCACTGTCAAGATTTTTTTTTTCTTAGTTCTGGGTTGTTTCTTTCCTTGATTAGTTTCCATCCATTGCTTCTTGTCCTGCCCTCAGGCACTTTGGAGAATAGTTTGACCCCTCTCCTCTCTGTGGCAGCCCCCGAGATATTGGAACCCTGCTATCATGTCTCCCCTAGTCCTTTCCCCCCCATTAAACTAGGTATACCTAGTTCCTGCAACCATTCTTCATATGTTTTATATGTTTTAGGTTGCTACCTTTGAATTGTTCCCAAGCCCCTGGTCCTCTCCCCCCACTGTTCAAGGAGTTTTTGCAGATCTTTCTAAGAGCCTTTGCTAGGTTTGGAGAAGAAAAACTTAATCCATCTAGTGGGATCAAGAAGAAGGACCTTCTCGGTGGTGGCTCCCTCCCTGTGGAACGCCATCCCTGTGGAAATAAGATTGGTCCCCACTTCGATATTCTTTCAAAAAGCCCTGAAGATACAGTTTTGCCAGCAGGTCTGGAAACCTGCTGGTTTGATTTTTGGTTTGATTTTTGACACAAGAGGTTGTGTGCGTGTTTGTATGTGTGTGTGTGTGTGTGTGTATTTATTTATTATTTTGAATAGAGGGTTTTATTTCTATAAGTCAGCCAGAGTCACTGTGAGTTTGGCAGCCATATAAATTTTCTTAATATAAAAAAGCACCTCTGTCCATAGCAGTCTACCTGTAAATGGAATGAAAAGGCCTTCAGCCAAGCTCCATTGCTGATTATATGAATATGCCTGTGTATATTTTTTTTACAGTAACAGTAGATTGCTCCTGCATTCTAGATTTTTTTCCCATTAACTTCCCTATTAATATTTTACATGCAAAATGTATGCAAAAAGGGATGTCGTATTTATTTTTATTAATCTCTTCTCACATTCTTTTTCCTCACCTCACCCTAACCCTTCAGAAGTTGTGGGAGTTTCATCCCTGGAAGCTTTGAAGAAGTGACTGGATTGCCATCTGTCAGAAATGGTGTAGGGTTGGACTAGATGACCTACAAGGTCCCTTCCAACTTTCTTATTCTTTGCCAGATGCCTCTAATTTTGAAATGGCCTTAGAATAGACTTTCAGTACAGGATTATCTTCATTGTATTTAAATATTCACCTGGCTATTAACCTTTCTTTAATAAGCAACAAATCATGAATTTAATATGACCTCAACCATCACACATTCGCTACCGCCTACGTTTGATGGGCTCAGAGCAGGAAATAAATATTTAAAATAAAACCAATCTTGGCCAAGGATTGCATGCTCCTTTGCTAGCAAATGGAAAAAAAAAATACAGGCACAACATGTTTATGGAAATAAAAGTTTTATCCTTCAAATAAACAAATTCTCCTATATGGTCCCCAAAAGTTTATATGCCATTTTGTTGTTGCCTTGCTGGAAGGTATAAATTCATTTGCATAGTTAAAATTAAAAAGAGGCACTTTAAATCGCTCAAATGGCCGAGAAGAAATATGTACTGAAATATTTAAAAAAAATATTAAGGGGAAAACCCTCCACACCTTTATTACCAAAAACTCCAATGGTTGAAGCAGAAGAATTTCATTCAAGGAATAAAATAATTGTTTCTGCAGGACTAGAATTAAAACTGAGAATTATTAGCAGAGCAGTTCCTAAGAACTGTGAAAAACACCTCAGTTCCTAAGAACTGTGAAAAACACCTCCATCGCTTTTTGTGTGTGATGTTTGAAGTGGAAAAAAAAAAAAACCCCAAGAAAACGAGCTTAGATTTTTTTTTCCTCACTGCTTGACCAAGTCTGTATTTCTCAACCTAAACAACTTTTAAGACGGATGGACTTCAACTCCCATAATTCTCTAACCAACTGAAGTCAAAATGGCGGGTCATTAATTCAGTGGTTTGTGGCCATCTTGACTTTTTCGGCCCTCCCATGAATACCCCTAATTGTATATAGAATTCTGGATAGCTGGATGTGGCTTTTATTATGAAATGCCCCACCTTGTTCTTAGTCCTTGGGAATGGGATTTTACAGATTAAGTTGGAGTTGGAAGGGACTTTGTACAGTAGGTCATCTAGTCCAACCCCCCCTGTCCAAGCAGGGGGCCCTACACCATTTCTGACAAATGGGAGTCCAATCTCTTCTTAAAAGTCTCAAGTGATGAAGCTCCTACAACTTCCAAAGGCAACTTCTGTTCCTTGGGTTGATTGTTCTCACTGTCAGAAAGTTTCTCCTTATTTCCAGGTTGAATCTCTCCTTGTTCAGTTCCCATCCATTATTCCTTGTCTGGCCTTCAGGTGACTTGGAAAATAGATTGACCCCTTCCTCCTCTCTGTGGCAGCCCCTCAAATATTGGAAGATGCTATCCTGTCTCCCCTGGTCCTTCTTCTTTTTATTTGATTCCCATCTTTTTTCCATAAAACTTTCTAACTTCTTTTCCACAGAGATAGCCTTTCATACAAACCCATTTTTTTCAACAGAAGTGCAAAAAGTTAGGATGCAAAGTCCCACAGTAAAGTCTAATTTGGAGTGACAGCCCAGGTGTCCATGTAGGTTTTTAAACCCCTTTCTTGGGGCAGCCTGAGAGAGAGGTAGATCCTGGACCATCAATGGTGATGAAAACTCTGCACAGATAGTCCTCGACTTCAAACATTCATTTCGTGACCATGCAAAGTTCCAACAACACTGAAGTGGCTTATGACCAGTCCTACAACCGTTGCACCATCCTCAGGGATAGGTGATCAAAATTTGGACACACAAGAGCCTCGGTGGCGCAGTGGTGAGAGTATAGTACTGCAGGCTACTTCTGCTGACTGCCAGCTACCAGCAGGTTGGCAGTTCAAATCTCACCAGGCTCAAGGTGGACTCCTCAGCCTTCCATCCTTCCGAGGTGGGTAAAACGAGGGCTCAGATTGTTGGGGGGCGAGAGGCTGACTCTGTAAACCACTTAGAGAGGGCTGGAAAGCATTATAAAGCGGTATATAAGTCTAAGTGCTATTACTTTTGCTCTCTTTCTTGTTTGTCTGTCTGTCTGTGTTGTGGTTCACCGGTAGCCTGTGCAGACAGCAGCGAAATCAGACAGTGGGGAAGAACAGGGACTAGTCTGGGAGTCTGGAGACAACTTGGACGAGGGTCCTGCATCCGATGCAGGGATGGGGCCAGGACCATCTGGGAGTTGTGTGCTGACTCCGGAGCCTCCAGAGTCTGGCAGCAGTGAGGCAGAGGAACAAGGGGAGCCTGTTCCTAGTGCGTGTGTGTCCAGAGCAAGAGCAGCTAAGACAAAAGGGACAACTCGGGAGTAAGGCTTGGAGGTGTTTGCCCCTCCCCTAAGGTATTAAGGAAGTGCAAAGGTAGAGAAACCTTTGCAGGAAGCAACGTTGTTCGCTCTGTTCAGATTAAACCTTGAAGCTCTGTGTGGATTTTGTACTTTGGTTGGGTTTTTTTTATAGTTCATTTGGCACTCTAGTTGTTGGCAGCAATTCAAAGGAGAGAAAGGGGGGTGCTTATCTCAAGGGATTGTTTGGGACTCATTACAGGCTGGGAATGAACATAATTCCCAGCGTTGAAATAAAACAAGAGTTGCTTTAACTAAGCATGTGCTTAATTACGGTCTCAGGAAGCCTTGGTCAGAACAGTCTGTCTATCTATCTCAGGTTGACTCAGCCTTCCATCCTTCTGAGGTTGGTAAAATGAGGACCCAGATTGTTGGATGCCATATAGGCTGACTCAGTAAACTGCTTAGAGGGGGCTAGAAAGTGGCATATGTGCTACAGTGCTATAGAGCTGTTGCTATTGCATGGCAACCAGAATGTGTTTCCAATGGTTGCAGTGTCCCGTTGTGTGTGTGTGTGTGTGTGTGTGTGTGTGTGTGTGTGTGTGTGTGATGTAATCGCCACTTGTCACCTTCCCAGAAGGCTTCGGACAAGCAAAATCAATGGGAGAATCTGGATTTGCTTAGTGACCATGTGGTTTACTTAACAACCACACTGATTTGCTTAGGGCAAAAAAGGTTAAAAAATCGGACATGGCTCCCGTTAACGCCCACCTTGCTTAACAACACAAATCCTGGTCCCAATTCTGGGACGCAAGATGACCAGTTGCAGTATAAGAGAGTGATGAATGTTGTGGTTAGCCGGCAGCAGGTGCGGATGGCTGAGGAGAGCCAGGTGAGGGGCCAGGACCATTAGGGAGTGGGCTGCTGCCTTCAGAGATTGTGGGGGCTGGGAGCAGTGATGAGGAGGTTCCCGAGGAGCCTGTGCCAAGTGCGCATACACGCAGGGCTGCTCGCAGGAAAGAGCAACTGCAGCAGCACGGGTGACTCGGGAGTCAAACTGCAAGGTAACGGCCCCTCCTTCAAGAAGATAAAAGCCAGCTGTGAATCAGACGTTCTTTGCAGGAAGCAAAGACGTTTTGAAACTCCAGCCTCGTGGACATTGCAGTATCTTAATTTAGTATTTGAAGACTCTTGTGTTGTGAAATATTTCTTATCTGTTATTCTTGGCAGTCTTGCATAGTTTCGGCGAGGTTTGTGCTTATCAAAGTTAATTAGTTTGCAGCAGCTTTTTAACCGGGGATTCGTAAGAATCATTAAAAGGTTTCTGTTCCCTTTGCTTCATGTTTGTTTTATTGGGTCAGAACACTTAACAACTGCCTCGATTAGCAACAGAAATTTGTGGTGGTTGTAAGTTGAGGACTACCTGTACCAGGACACAGTATTTAATTTTATATGAAATCCAACATGAGAAGAAAAAGAAAGAAAGAAAGAGACAGCCTGAAATTCTGGTCATAATTTTATGTATATAATAACAGCTAAAAAAAATATCCAAAGCAAAGAAATGGATGAAAGCTGTAATTGTGGGTCTGCTGATTGGGGAATTAAACCCCATTTAACTCTGCAGTAATAAGCACGCCTTCCAGAGGGTGTCAAAAAACCCCAGGTGGCCCACAACTTAATGCTTTATTACCTCACTTTCTTTCTTCCTCACCTCTGTGTTATCATTGTTAAAACCAAAGGACAGCATATGGTCTCTTAAATGATTTTAGCAGTTTACTTCCAAGTCTTAAATAGCGGCCTTCAACGTAAGGCTCTTGACTGAGTTTTGCCCATTGCAAGAATTCAATCCAAAAGGGAAAAAAAGAAAGAAAGATGCAAAGGATTCAATTTCCTTAAATTACAAAGGTTGCAACTAAAGTTTCTTTTTTTTTCTTTTTCTTTTGAGGAGGTAAGAATAATGCAGGTTATTTCAGCCACTATTCTTCCCTTGCAATACCCACGATCATTAGGGGTTCGAATTCACCTACAGCCTTGCATCTCAAGCAAGTATTATTTTGCTGAATAGCTTGGCCAGGAATCTGGAAGCAACAGCAAAATACCCATCTGTCTCAATAGGAGAGATCATACTGCATCTTTTTTTAAAAACAAAACAAAACAAAACTCTTATTCCTGAATTAGCTGAAGTACAAAAAGATGCACACCTGAGAATCTTTGTATCACAGACATTCACACGTTCTGCGAGAGAGTAGTCTTTGCACAATTGAACACAGGATTGAACCGTACGCCTATGGCTCAAAACAGGAGCACAGTTCCTTCTTATCTGCTATTGGAAGACAACATAAGCCTTGTGCATTTTCAGTTGCAAATCTGTACCGCCGTTGAAGGGCTGGTAACGTCTCCTGAAGTGGTTTTCCTTAAGAAGAACACCAAGCTTGAGTAAGATGGAATCTCACTAGTGCCAGGAAATAGATCTACTTTGGAGAGCTTTCCTCCTGGTCTCTACTCACCATCCAGAACTTCCTGTACCCTCTACCTCCTTACTAAGTACAGACTAGGAACTCATCTTCATTCATCGTAACCGTCCCCAAATGAAACCATGGTAGCCATGGCTTGTCCGGTCCCACTTTGGGGGAAGACTTGAGAAGAAAGCAAGAAGCTGGACTTGAGTTTTGGAAGGGCAGTTCTTCGGTTCTGTTCTCCTCCTGGGTGGGACAGCCAGGTATTCCCGACCCCCACCTTTTCTGAATTAAATTTCTTCAGCCTTCCAACTCGGCTGTCCTTGGAAAATGCCAAAGGAGGAGGAAGTAGTCTTGCAAAGGCTAAATGAGACCTACACCTTCCTGCTCTTTGCAAGATACTCATCTCCACGACCATCACAATAGATCGAAGAGTTAGGGGATGATATCCCTTGCTTGCACCCCTCCCAGGTCCCCCAGGATCCAAAGAATACCAGGAAAGACCCCAGCTTGAAATCTTCTTGAATCCTGGGCAGTCATTAAAAGAATTACTCGGTTCTAGGTGTCAATATCTGCCCAGCATATGACAACCTCATTGCTCAAAGTATCATTTGATATTCACTACGGAAAAAACCTTTTGGTACCTCTATTATTATTTCCCCCCCCCCCCCACAGTCTCATAGACCCCAGAGAAGAACTGAAAAAGATGCCATTTCAGTGAGGATGTCCTTGCTCTGTTTCTTTTCTCTAATTTCTTGAAAATCCCTCTCTTCAGTATCGATTTTATTGCCGTTGAATTTTCTTAGAATTTGTTGGGCGATGTTTTTCACCCAACCATGTTGCTTTTTGATAGCTAAGCTACCTGCTACAAACAATTATATTATGAAGAGCTCAAAATCTTGGCTAGGTTGTAACTCAGGTAAGTACCAGAGCCTCGTGTTCTCATATGAAACTATCATCTATAAGGGAAAGGAAAGAAGGGAGGGAAGGAAGGAAGGAGGGGGAGGAAGGAAAGGAAAGAAGGAAAGGAAAGAAGTTAGGAAGGGAAGGGAAGGGAAAGAAAGGAGGAAGGAAAGGGAAGGGAAAGAAGGAAAGAAGAGAAGGGAAAGAAGGAAAGGGAAAGAAGGAAAGGGAAAGAAGGAAAGGAAAGGAGAAAGGAATGGAAGGAAAGGAAAGGAAAAGAGAAAGGAAAGGACAAAGGAAGGGAAGGGAAAGAAGGAAAGAAAAGCGAAGGAAAGAAGGAAAGGGAAAGAAGGAAAGGAAATAAAATGAAAGAAGAAAGTAAAGGAGAAAGGAACCGAAGGAAAGGAGAAAGGAAAGGAAGGGAAAGAAGAAAGGAAAGAAGGGAAGGGAAGGGAAAGAAGGAAAGGGAAGGAGAAAGGAAGGGAAGGATTCCAACTCTCTTCTTAGCCTAAGCTTTGGATATTAAACAAGGGGAACTGCCTTCAATTCATCCACCGATCAAGCAAAACCACACTGTTGTTGCTACCAGAACAGAAAGGGTAGATATACTATGTTGCTGTCTGTTCCAGGTAACTCTAGTAAAGCCTTTTTTGCACAAGCAAACAGACAGGAACATGATGTGCTTATCAAGGCCTTCAAATGAATGATGTGGGAGTCCCTTCCCTTCCAAGACAGGAAACAGTGATGGCGGAATGAACCGCGCCCAAAGGTGAATGGGGTCAGCTCCTTTGTATGGTTCTGCATCCTCAACAGACTTAAACAGGACCATCGTGGACACTCTGGCACCCTCTGAATTACGCTGGACCTTGAGAAGGCTCCAGCAGAGCATGCAACCCACACGGTAGGTGTCGATTCCTTCTTCGCTTGAACCCTGTTGCGGTTTCTGTTCCACCTCTGCTTTTGGAGCAAGTGCAAGCTAGCAATTGTTCGCCCAGAACATCCTGGTCCTGGGAACGCCTGTTTCCACCTCGCTGCACCATCACACGTCTGAGGTTCTGATGTTTTCATCCTCCAAGTCAATCAGAAAGCGGTGCTCTTTGAAGTTCTGGGGTTCCGACCTGTGTCGGAGGCGCCTGACCTGGGTCTCTCCAGCACCTCGCTCAGAAGGCAAAGGGGCAAACCCAGAGTCTTCGGCCAGTTCCTTGGATGCCAGCTGCTGCTTCTCCTCCAGCTGTGGCACGGGCATCCAAGGCAGCCAGCAAGAAGTGGAGGGACCTTTGTGTCCAACCTTGGACTCGTCTCCTCGCTGCTTGAGCCATGCTATGGATGCTGTGGTGGAGCTGGACAAGGTGGGGCTTCCTCGTTTATCCATCGACACGGATCTCACCAAAGGCATTTCCTGCAAGGCGAAACCAGAAGATCAGTGGTAGCAGGGTGGGATGCAAATGTTTTTACTACCGGTTCTGTGGGCATGGCTAGGTGGGAGTGGCCATGTGACTGGGTGGGCGTGGCTTCTTTTTGTTGGGCAGCACCTCCCCCCCCGCTCCATTTTTTTGCCTCCTGGGAGGCCATTTTTGCTCCCAAGTGGCTTCCCTGAGGGCCAGGAGGCAAAAAACAAAGCGCAGGGAGGGGGAACGCACAGCAGCACCCCCAGTGTGCCCCTTTTGCCTCCTGGGCCTCAGGGAAGCCTCCTGGATGAAGCAGTAAGCCAGTAAGGGGGACCCCAAAACAGTTCATCATTGGAACAGCCGATCGTCGGGAGGAAAAAAAAAAAGCAATAGCGGTTTGGCTGAACTGGTAGCTGTTTTTTTACTACCGGTTCAGCCGAATGGTAGCATTTTTTTACTACCG